TTCTGTGACTGTTCCTAAGTTCTCCAAAAAATCTTATCCTCTAGTTTTTTGCCTTGAACATCAGTTCTTTGGAATTCGCTTCCTTCATCTTGCTTTCCTGACTCATATAATTTGCAATCTTTTAAGTCGTCTGTCAATTGATATCTTGCTCTACAATCTTTATCTTTTTTCTTCCAGTAACTTCCAACTCTAATTAGTGGTTGCTTGCAGTCTTGTTGGAAGCAAAGGTATAAAAAAAAATAAAAATAGGTAGAACATGAGAGGAGCGCTGCTACATTGACTGACAAATAAGAAAAACATGCTGCTACATCGTATATATATATATATATATATATATATATATATATATATATATATATATATATATATCAATGGTGTACACTTAGATTTTGGTTAGTTGCCCAGCAGGCCCTGAGAGTAAAAATTTTGGTAATGTCAGACACTGTCATTGTTTTGAGTTATACACCACTATTTTTCAAAATTTCGCATTTAGCGTACTTCTTGTGCAGTTAAGTCGTTTTTGAATATAGTGCAATAGGTTTACTAAAAAATATTTTTGCAAACCAAAATAATTGTTAAAAACTATTGATAATATTTACTCTTTCAGTTCTAGAAAAACACCTTGAGATGAACGACTTTAGTTTTATCACCTGCTTTAAATGTTTTTTTTTTACAAGTATTTTTTCAACACAATAAAGTTCTTATAAAAGTGAGTGATGTTGACAAAAATACTTAAAATTTTAAGGCAGCAAGACAAAAAACTAAATGATTTTTATCATTATTATTATAGCTCTATCACTTATAGCTTATATATTATTCATTTTGGTTCTTTAATGCTATTTTAAATATTTTAGTATATTTTTAATTTAGTGCACAAAACTTAAACTAATTTGTTCTTTTAAGTAAATTTAATGAACGATTAAACTAAGAAAAGTCTAATGAAGAATGACTTAGAAAAGTCTATTGAAGAATGACTCAAAAATGATAATGATGAATAAACTCAAAGTGAGAGAACTACAAAACAAGTTTACAAAAATTGAATTAATTTGTTATTTTAAGTAAATTTTACCTGAAAAAATTGTAAACTTTTAACAACTTTTGAATAAATAGTTCAAAAGGAAAGAGTAACAAAACAATTTTATACGATTTTAATTCATTTGGTTTTTAAAAGTAAATTTTAACTAACAACTTAAACGTTTTAGTTTTTATAAATGTTAATCAATAAAGTTTTTGTAAACATTACTTACAGAAAATATATGATTTTTAATTTTATTTTCATCATTTATAATAGAAATAAGTAATCACTAAAAAGGTAACGCCGCTGCCTATGTACATCAAGGTGTTTTATTTACAATTTTATTTCTATTATATTTCTCTAAACATAACAACTAAGCATAAACTAATATTTTAATATTTAAACAATTTATGTTGTTAAATTTATATAAAAATAAATATGTTAGATTTAACAGCATAAAAAATGAAGTTTATTAAATAAAAATAAAAAAATTGCATTTTTATCATTTTGTTTTGACAAAAATAAGTTTTATAATATTAAAATTTTTAAAATTTTCTTGTAATTTCACATCATTTGAGACCTAACATGAAGTTCTTCACTTTTGAAGAACTTTTTTTTGATAATATTAGGAACTTGTTAAATGTTCAAGGGTCTTTAGATTCCTAAAATTATCTTTTATAAAAAAACTTTTTAAATCACAAGATTTAAAAAGTTTTGCAATGTAGTAGCTATGAACTTGGTGTATAGTAGCTATATAACAGGCTATGTAGTAGCTATAAAACAAGTTATGTTAAAGCATGTTATATCATAGCTATGGAGTGGGCGGGTACCCTTTAGGCTATGTAGTACCTGTATACTGGGCTATTTTAAAGCTATTTAGCAGACTATATAGTAGCTATATTGTGGGCTATGCACAGTGGGCCAGAGATCAGCATAAATGCCGAAAATGAGTATATGTGGAAACTTTTTTTTTTGTAAAATTTTAAAAGTAAATACCCCACAATAAAAAAATCTGACATGTAAATATTTTCATTTTTGTTTTAGGAGTCCAGGGAAACTTTTTTAAAAAAAAATAACAGAGAAAATGCTCATAAAATTGAAGTTCACCTCGTAAGGCCAGCTTTCTTTATTTTAATTAAAATTTTATAGTCTCAATATCAGGGTACATTCTTTATTATAGAAAACTTAACAATTAAATAATAAATTACAACTTTTTTTTATCTTAAAATATGACAGTTAAAGCTTTACAAAATATAATAAAAAGTTACCATAAAAGGCTCAAGATCTTTTTTTGCCCACGTTTCCCCACTATGGAAATAACTTTCTTACAGAGTCTTACTATTGTATAAGGTTTCTCATTAAAAATATCTTACGCAAAGTTGCGCGAATTAAAGTTTAGCTGGTTTTAAATGTACCAATTGTTTGTCATTTTTATTTGATCAAAGCACATTGTTGTTAAGTATGAACTCTAAACAATTAATTGCAATTACGAAAACTACAAGAAACATTAAAATTTAATGCTATTCCTTAATTAATACTTAGTATTCCACTCAATTAAGTAATGTGGTTTTTTTATTTGTAAACTTAAACTTATTTCTGTTAATTATTGATTATGTTTTTGATCATTAAAATATGAATACTATTTAAAAACTTTAAAAACCATAATTATATTTTTAAATTGAAATTTCATTGTACCAACCATTATGAAAAATATAGAAATTACTTAAAAATTGTGTCATGCTTTGGAAAACAACTTAATCAAATCAGTTACCAACCCTGATGCTTGTAAACTTGCAGGGCTTGCTGACATAGACTTCAAGTTATTTATCAAAAAATTTAACAAAAATGGAATAAAGTAAACAGACACAAGGATAGATTTGAGTTGCATTACAAAATCTGGTTAGAAAAAGAACTACAAAAAAGTAATGCAAAGTAATGAAACAGATAAACTAGACAAGGGCCAAAACTCGAACTTGCCTTTTCCTACTTCTTCTCACAATTTAGGGATAACCTTTCATAAAAATTAAAGTAATGGACTCATGATGTTTTTTACTATTTAATTGTGTTTTAGCAAGCGTTTATACTAAATACAATAATCTGATATTTTAATTTAAATCAGTTGTCTACGGAAGACCACCAAGTACAAATTCAATACCATTTACCCAAGCTTTTGTAAAAACAAAGAGGAGGAGAGCATAAAAAACAAACATTGCTGTCAAAAGAGAGGAATTATTTTACTCACTTATTTTGAAACTAAGAGAGGAAAAAAGGTTCAGCAATGCTAAGGTACATCTATGCTATAGCCATTTTTAATTTATCTTATTTTTTTTTAAAAATATCCATACGGGTGACAAATGTTCTTAGTAGAATGTATTCATCTGACTATTCAAAATTACATTTTTACACGTAAGGTTGTGAAGCAAATATTAAAATCAGAGAAAGATGGTGCAGTTAATTCAACAATAATGTTTACTTAAGAGAAAGCATTAGCTTTGATTTTGGACTGCCGACTTAGTAAGGCCTAGAATAAGTTTAAAGATAAGTATCATTTATGTTAACGAACAATCTTTATTTCTATCCTATTTTGTTCTAATTAAACTTTATATTGAAGAATCTGTCAAATCACTAAAGACCAATAAAAAAACCATCATCTACACTTTGCTGCCATCAAGTACAATTTCAATATGTAAAAGAAAGTGCTGTTATTACACAAGAATATATTTCCTTCAAAAACAATAATTTGAAATCAACAGTCTTTAATTCCTTTATTATCAAACATAAGTTAGAATGCACCACAATTTTGCAAGCAACCACACAATTTTGAATTTCATTAAAATTGTAATTTTATTTAGACAACCTAACTATATTATTTCCGTTTTCAAACAACTTGCTGTGTGTAATATATAAATTTACAAAAATAAAAAATTTCAAAACATTATAAGGGAGGGGGGGGCAATCACCCCCATTGCCTCCATATGGATCTGCCCTTGGTGTCTGCTGAAATACTTGGCTTAGATAAAAAACCTCATGGAATGTTTCTACGTAATTCTTTTATTGTGTTTTATCGTGCAAACATCAAATTAGCGCTGATGTACTTGAAAAATATACCAAAGAAACAGCAGAACTCTGCGTTTCTCTGTAACAATGCCTCAAATCCTATATAAAATTCTAATTCATTGTTCTCAAGTTGTAAGAAATAAATCAGCACCAGTAGGTCTTCTTTCTCACTTCAAGAATTTCGAAATCAAGACTTAAAAATTATAGAGTACACTACACAAGAAAACTAACTAATGAAGATGTAATGAGAACATTATTGTGCAGTTCAGATCCAATTATTAGATTTCTAAGAAGGAGTTTGAGATGTATAAATAGCTTAAATTTAACAAAGATTGTAAACTTTAATTGTAACTTTTTTTTAATTTTAATTATTGTATATTTTTACTCTGATTTCTGATAGAATATTTAATAAATAAACGTTTCTTTGGTTATAAAAAAGGGTCTTATATGTAACAAACATTTTAATTAATGCTTCAAATCTGGGAAAAACTGTTTCTAAAAACAACTAAAAGATATCTCTAAAACCCCTAACGCCTAATGCACCCTTTTCCATTAGGGTGTTTAGGGTGCCGAAAAAAAAAAAAAAATTATTTTAAACTGATCTTTATGATGACTAGAGTCACTGATAAAAATTTCAATCTGACAACTTTAAAAATAAAGGAGTAATGATTTTTTTTCCATTTTATATCGATCTTGGCCCACTGTGCTATGTAGTAATTATGTCCTAGAAGGAATGAAAATTAATTAATTATAATTTAAAGTACCAACTGATTTTTCCCAGGATTGTGCAGGATATTTTATAAGTGTATATATATATATATATATATATATATATATATATATATATATATATATATATATATATATATATATATATATATATATATATATGATAATGAATAAATAAAGATATATAATCAAACATTACTTTAAAAAGTTTTTTAAGTAGTTCCTGCTGCACCTGGACCAAAGAGAGTGTGAACTTTTCCATTCTTGTATAGGGGTTGACAAAGAACTCATTAGAAAAGTATTATCTGGACATATAAATGAACTTTCATCACCATCATGATTCATACCTAAACTAAAGTGTTAAATAAATGGTAGAAATTGAAAGAATTAATTAAACTTAAGAATCAATTTCAGAACATTTATGATTTTTAAAATTTATTTTCATTATTATAGGTATTTTTATTATTTTAACAATTTCTTTTTAATAATGGTGTAAGCAAAAAATAATTGGGTGCAAGCAAAAAAAAAAAAGTTTTTAAATCATTGCATGTAAATATTTTTCAATTTACATGCAATGATTTTAAGCTTACTTTAAAACAAAATTCTGTTGATTTCAAGCACTCAACCAATTCTAAAACAGTTTAACCAGTTTTAACCAGTTTTTAGTCTGTTTAATCATAGAATGATTAAGATTAAAGTTCAAGTAATTGAGTGTTCAAACTTCAATAACAGTATGTCTTATAAACAATAAAAAACCTACTTTAAAAACTGTATGTAGATGCCATACTTTTTTCTATAGTATTGCGACAAATGATTTGAATGAAGTTATTTAATGAATGAGCTGTTTAGTATTTTCATCTTTTTTTTTAATTAACCTGCTGCTTTTTTTATTGTTTTTGTTTAAATTGTTAATTAATTAGTTTTGTTAAAAGTGACAGGTATCTCATAAAATCAATGATCACAATAACTAAATTATTAAATACTTATTTAAAATTTTAATTTTTTACTTTTGTAAAGTATATATATTTTAACAACCTAATCTCACAATTTATATAGAAATTTAATTTATATAAAAAAATGTGGCCTTATACTGATATGTTAACATAATGAGGTAAAAGTGCATTATGGATAAAAATATTTTTATACTTTGCTATAATCTTTCTTTAAATTATTTCTTGAACATTTAATTGGTAAAATTCAGTGAAAATTATGCTTATATTTCATCGCACTTGAAAAATGTACAAGATGAGTACATAAAAACCAAATTGCTTTTTTTGGTGTAAATGTAAATTTCTCATATGAACAAATATCAACCTATTATAACAATCTTGTATAACAAGCTTGTATAGCTCCTAAACTTAACACAGTTTTTAAGTTATTTTATTAAGAACTTAATAAAATTATCAAACTAAAAAAATTTTTAAAAACAAATAGATTAACATATGTTCATTACTTGTCTGATCAATAGATTAACATAAGTTTATTGCTACCTGATCAATAGATTAACATATGTTCATTGCTTGTCTGATCAATAGATTAACATATGTTCATTTCTTGTCTGATCAATAGATTAACATATGTTCATTGCTTGTCTGATCAATAGATTAACATATGTTCATTTCTTGTCTGATCAATAGATTAACATATGTTCATTGTTTGTCTGATCAATAGATTAACATATTTTTATTACTTGTCTGATCAATAGATTAACATATTTTCATTACTTGTCTGATCAATAGATTAACATATGTTCATTACTTGTCTAATCAATAGATTAACATATGTTCATTGCAGATTAACTAAAGACACTAACTATTGTTTAAACTTAACTTTGATTTAATGTTGAATTTTAAGTAATTTTGAAAATCTTTAATATTCTCAAAAAAAAAACTCAATCATAAACTCCTAGAATAATCCTAAAGTTCCAAACCAAAAAAGACTTAAGACTTTCAAGTACTTAATTTTTAACAAGAATTTATCTTAATAACAATTGTTATAAAAATTTTTTTTTTAATGTTTTTGCATTGTTAATAATTTAAGTTACAAATATTTATTGTCTTAGATTTTAATTGCAACCAAATTATAGTTTAAAACATCAATTGAGCATGTTTCCTATTGTTATCTTCTAATACAACTATCTTTAAGTTTTATTCAGTAAACAAAGTAAAATTAATAAAATTTATAAATAAAAAGAAGCCCTTTTTTAAATTTTAACTTTTTATCTCTATCAAAACAAGCTCTAAATGATAGTAAAAAAATTAAAGAAAAAAACAAACTAAAATGTTTTAGAATGTTTAAAATACTTTTAAAAGTAATAGAATGGAACCAATAGAATGGAACTAATAGAATGAAAACATAAAAATTAGCACAACTATTTTTTTCATATATTAGCATGCTGGTAATTTGGAGTAAAGAAAACTAATAAATACCTATGACCAATGTTGTGAGTTATAGTGTATGCTAGTGGCAGTCCATTATCCTCATTGATAGATGCTGAGTATGGCCAGTTACACATCCCACCAACTTGTGTTAAACCTTAAATTTTTATTTTCATTATATATATATATATATATATATATATATATATATATATATATATATATATATATATATATATATATATATATATATATATATACTTTAATTATGTTTACTTGCATTTATTTCTGAAACTATATTTATTAGTTGAAATAATAAAAAGAAAAAAACTCAATATAGACCTAGTATATCACATGGTTGACGATCATCTGCACATACGTTATATCTAAAATAGATTAATATTATTATAATAGTAGTAGTAGTAGTAGTAGTAGTAGTAGTAGTAGTAGTAGTAGTAGTAGTAGTAGTAGTAGTAGTAGTAGTAGTAGTAGTAGTAGTAGTAGTAGTAGTAGTAGCAGTAGCAGTTGATATAGTAATAGAAAAACTTATAGCAATTAAAAAAACATCTTTATGAAAACATAAAATGATATATTTGAACTCATTTGATACATTGTATTGCACTAAATTTTTATTTAGGGGCGTGGGAATATTTTATTTGAGAGGCGTAGTAATGCTTTGTTTTAGGGGCATAGTAATGTTTTATTTAAGAGGCATAGTAATGTTTATTCTAAGGGCATGGTTATGTTTTTTTAAGGGGCTTGGTAACATTTTATTTTAGGAACATGGTAATGTTTTATTTTAGGGATGTGCTAATGCTTTATTTTAGAAACAAAACTCTTTTCAGGGTTGAAAATAGTACACTTTTTCTGTACTATTTTCTTAGTTTAAATAAATTTAATTGTTTTAAAAGTGTAATTGTTTATTAAATCAACGTGATTTTAACATTTTTGATGCACTTTTTTTCTAATTTAAATATTTAACATTTACAAGTTTAGCTAGTAATAATAAACTTCTTAAATATATGTAAAGTACTTGCCCTTACTAAAATCCATTAATTAGTGTAACTATTCTTATTAACTTTATTTGTTTCTAAAAAACATAATCAATTAGCAAAAGAAATAAATAATTAATATTCTAGTATTGTGTTATATATCTGAAGACAATAATAAAGTTATCTAATCTTAGCATTTAATTCTGAATTTCATGACGTCATCTGAAGATATTAATAAAGATATCTAATATCAGCATTTATCATTGAATTACATGAAATCACAAAAACATTTAATAAATCTATCAACAGTTTTCTTTTGATAAAAGTAATTTAAATGTTTATTAAAAGCTTAGCACTACACAACACATGTTTATTAAAAGCATAGCACAATGGGAGGTTGAGATGATACTAAGACATAAAAAGATTAATTAGACCTCAAAAAGCTATTTATCTGAAAGAAATATTAAAGTAAACTAAATTTCAACCTAGTCATTAAGACTGCGTAGTCAAAGTGATCATCAGAACGATCATCTTGATCACTAGCTCTAGCTGCCCAAGTTCCAAAACTTTCTAAGGTGTTTCTTGCATGATGATTAATAACCAAACCAGGCTAAATAACAAACAAAATATTTCATTGTAAAAAATAAATACAAATAAATAAATAAATTATAAATGCAAAAAATATCAACTTTTTTCCCTTCAAAAACAAGTTTTATTTAATCACTAAAACTCAACAATATCAACTGTGTGCAACTCTAGTTTCACAACAACAAATTTTATTAAAATAACATAAAATATCAACTGTGTGCAACTCTAGTTTCACAACAACAAACATTATTAAAATAACATACAATATCAACTGTGTTCACACTCTAATTTGACAACAACAAATATTATTAAAATAACATACAATATCAACTGTGTGCAGACTCTAGTTTCACAACAGCAAATATTATTAAAATAAAATACAATATCAACTGTGTGCAACTCTAGTTTCACAACAACAAATTTTATTAAAATAACATAAAATATCAACTGTGTGCAACTCTAGTTTCACAACAACAAATATTATTAAAATAACATACAATATCAACCGTGTTCACACTCTAGTTTGACAACAACAAATATTATTAAAATAACATACAATATCAACTGTGTGCAGACTCTAGTTTCACAACAGCAAATATTATTAAAATAACATACAATATCAACTGTGTGCAACTCTAGTTTCACAACAACAAATTTTATTAAAATAACATAAAATATCAACTGTGTGCAACTCTAGTTTCACAACAACAAATATTATTAAAATAACATACAATATCAACTGTGTTCACACTCTAGTTTGACAACAACAAATATTATTAAAATAACATACAATATCAACTGTGTGCACACTCTAGTTTCACAACAGCAAATATTATTAAAATAACATACAATATCAACTGTGTACAACTCTAGTTTCACAACAACAAATATTATTAAAATAACATACAATATCAACTGTGTGCAACTCTAGTTTCACAACAACAAATATTATTAAAATAACATACAATATCAACTGTGTGTAACTCTAGTTTCACAACAACAAGTATTATTAAATTGGAACCAATACTACCATCTCGCAACAAGCTTGAAACCTAAAACAAAATCTTTTAAATATAACAACAGCAAATATATGTAAAAACTGTAAGTATATATATATATATATATATATATATATATATATATATATATATATATATATATATATATATATGTATATATATATATATATATATATATATATATACACATATATACATATAGTTATGTATATATATATATATATATACAAATTTGAGTAAAGTTAGGGTTATGGCTGTTTGCAGTTAAGTTTTTTTTTCACTGCAGTATGGAGTAGGCGTAAATTGAGGGGTAAAGCATAAATAACATTCAAATATAACAAAAATTATATTAATGAATTAGATCTTATTGATGTATTAAATGACCTTTTACTTTACTTTGTTGTAATGTGGTTTTTAAGTAATAATGTTTTGCAATTGGCCCTAAATTAGCACAAAATGCCTGAAGATATATCTCAATTTGAAATAGAAATACAAGATCTCCAAGAAAGTCAAAATATTCTGATGCTACATAAAACACTAGTTTTATTTAGGATGAGCTAAAACAGATAAGTATAAAATCTAATAAGTATTTGCCAGAGTTATTTAAAGTACTAACTACAAGCTTGAAACTAGATTTTAGGAAACTTACAGTAAAATTCTTATTCTAAGTATTTTTTATTTATATTTGGGAAACTAATTTTTTTTTTCTTTTTAATTAGGAAAACTGCCTGGATTAAGGTTGGCATTTTAAAACTTAAAACTGGCAAAATATGTTAAAACAGTAAACGTCTTATGGCATAGGAACACCAATTAAATAGTACAGATTTTATAAACTTTATATTTTGTTATTTGAAACATATTTCAAAAATTCACTTACAATGTTAAGAACTACAAGAGCAAATTGAGTTGCAGCATCTTCCCCATGGTAGTTGACCATTTTTTGGTCAACAACAACCAATGTTTCAATGTATCTCTCAGTATTATCAGATTTAACAAAATTTGCGGAGTCATCAGAAGACCGATCAACACGAACAAGTGGATCTCCTATAAAAAATAATACATAAACATTTATTTACAAAGAAAATAAAAACTTTATAGCAATATAAAAGCATATATATATTTGTATATTTAAAAAGTTAAGGTGCCATAACTTTGAGGTTAACCAGGGTCAAAAGTATTATTAGTGCTTCCAATACCGGTAGTACTGGTACCGGAATACCGGTATTACCGGACATTTTTAAGTACCGAAATACCGGTATTGGTTTGGCTCAATACCGGTATTAAAAATATATGTAGAGGGCTTATGATATAGCAGGTGCTATCGCTCTCTTTACGTGAAACACTAAAGTAAATGAAATACTTAAAACTTTCAACAGCGCTTCCGGTAGGAAAAAAGATAGCTAGATGAGAAAAGACGTGTTTAAATTGTCTAAAACAAGTATTCTACGTACTTTATACTTAATATCTAGTTGCCAGCTCATTTCCCACTAGGTTTGGTAGGAAATGAGCTAGCAACTAGCCAGCGAACAGCTAGCGTTTAAGACTTATAAAATACGTAGAATACTTGTTTTAGACAATTTAAACACATCTTTTGTCATCTAGCTATCTTTTTCTTACCGGAAGCGTTGTTTGATCGTGACTGGAAGTTTTAAGTATTCCATTTACTTTCGTGTTTTCATTAAATAATGAAGCACCAATTTAAAATATTATCATTACGTCACTCGCTTTAATGTAGAACGCATGTTTGAATTTTGCACTAACGTAAATATGAAAAGTTTCAGTAATGTAGAAAGTGGGGCGTTTAAGTAACTGTGATCAACAGTTGTGCATTAGGCATGGGATTCAACTAGGTATTTAAGATATTTTGTACAAAAAAATTGTCAATTTCTGCAAAAAAAACTTGAAAGTAATATGCAATAACAGAGAAAGTGATGAGGAAATACTGATGACACAAACATAACCAATAATGATGAAGACTTTTCCGGCGGGTTTCAAGTTGTAATGAGTGAAGAGAATGACTCTATTGAACTGACTGATGATTTGCAGCCGTTAATCAAAAAGGTGCGCATCGTTGTGAAATTTTTATTTCGCCGTTCTCTGACAAAAAATGATCAAAATTCAAAAACACACGTTAGAAAAATTTGATAAAGATATTCCACTAATACTTGGATCCAAAACTAGCTGGGTTAGCTTGCACACAGTACTCGAACGTTTTGTATAATTAAAAAAATGCATTCAAGAGTCACTTTTTGCCCTTGAGTCCAAAGTTGAGGTAACTAATAATGAGTCCGATGCAATATTAGCTGTTAACTTATGTCTTGCGCCAGTAAAACTGGCTGTGGAAACATTGTGCCAAAATCATGCAACTCTGTTGTGTGCCGATACAACATTTTCATGATAGATAACTTTTGAGAAATCAATTTAGCTATAAAGTTATGTTGGTGCAACAATTCAATGAGCAACATACTCTTTTTCCAGCATATAACATTTTTTGCACAAGGGACATCAATGTTACAAGAATTTGGATCTAGCTCTATCTTTTGAGCACAATAACAAATTAGCTATCGTAAATACCATTACTTGACTGAAAGATCGGCTCAATCAGAAAGGGTATAGTCCTCTCCCTTTCACCAGCGTTTTTTCCGATAGTGATTCTGTGGACAACGCTGTAAACTTGTCATTAAAAAAAAAGCTTGACTTTGCAATTTTGAAAAATAAGAAATGTAACAACAAGGGAAAATTGAATGTTTCGAATAATTCATCAAAAATTAGATGTATTGAAATAGGAATTTTTGAAGAAGGAGGAAATCGTTGTATATATTTGCAAAATTCCTACCATTACTTGAAAACTATGAAGCCAACAAAACTAGATGATCTTTTGAAGATGATGTTCTGAAAGCCCTATGTTTTTTACGGGCTCATTTTACAAAGCAGAAAAAAGCAAAAAATGAAAAAGTCAGTAGTTTTGATATAAAATAAATAAGCTGATTGAATCAATAAAATTTTTACTATTAACTTGAGATTTTATTTAGATTATGATAATTTAAAAATAAAGTTTAATACCGGTATTATACCAGTATTTCCGGTATTGTAATTATTTAGTACCGATATACCGGTATTGAAAAATGGTATCGGTATTGGAAGCACTAAGTATTATTGAATAAACTGATAAAATTGACTTTAAATGCAATAATTCCATTTATTTTTATAGGAAAACTTTGCTTACCGATTTTCAGTAAAAACCTCCAAATATATATTTATAAATACTTATATTTATGTGTGTGTATATATATATATATATATATATATATATATATATATATATATATATATATATATATATATATATATATATATATATATATATATACACATATATATATATATATATATATTATATATATATATATATATATATACACATATATATATATATACATTGTATAACATTTAATTAGTTTTATGGAAGTAGTGCAGTATGTGTAAAATTTTTTTTTTTTGTTTATTTCATTGACACAAACATAAATAGCAGAGCACAAAAAAATAGACTTAAAATCTATATCCATTAAACTTTAATGTTTGAAAAACTGGTTCATAGTTATGAAAAACTCTATCTCGATTAAATTTTTTTGCATAGCTGTTTACATTGTAATACATAAATGTATATACATATGTTAAATATATATTAGGGGCTATTCTAGGAAAAAAATTTAGCGATAATATTTCCAAAATTCTTCCTTTTTTGCGAAAAAAATAATATTTGTTGTAAAAAACATAAAGAAAAAAAAAAAGTCAACTTATTAATTTGGGCGGCGCCCAAATACAGTCAGCGCTATCGAAAATGGTCTATAATAGCCCTTGATAATATATATATATATATATATATATATATATATATATATATATATATATATATATATATATATATATATATATACATGTATATATATATATATATATATATATATATATATATATATATATATATATATATATATATATATATATATATATATATATATATATATACATGTATGTATATATATATATATATATATATATATATATATATATATATATATATATATATATATGTATATATATATTTATATATATTTATATATATATATAATTATATATATTTATATATATATATTAGGGTGGGTCATAAAATTTTTTTTTACAGTTGCTAACCTGGCTATGGTCTAGAAAGTTGTTATTTTATGTACTAATTTAGGGAAGTATTTACTTTTATGGATTGAACAATGTCTTCCACCCGTTACTATAATTACAAAAATTAGCACGCCATATTATTATTCAAAAAAAAATTATGTGATGTAGGTACTCAAATAAGGTGAAATTTTATAAAAATTTCAAAAAGGATAATTTTTTTATATAAAAATTATTATTTTAGATTTTATTGCATAATAACCATAGTTTTTTGAGGTGCATTTTTACATGTTTTTTAATAACAATTTTTTTTCGGCAATATGATTTTTATAAAACGATTATTATTTTTCGAATTTTTTATAAAATTTCACTACTTTTGAGTACCAGGTTGACCTACTTTTAAAAAACTTTTTTTCTCCAAAATATTAGGGTACCGGTAATTTATCCAATAAAGTTTAAATCTATCACAATCATTTAAATCTATCACAATCATTCTCATATTTGATAGTATCAATATTAATAACTATTAGCAATGTTTAGAGCCTGTAACAAGAAAAAAAAAATTTTATGACCCACCCTAATATATATATATATATATATATATATATATATATATATATATATATATATATATATATATATATATATATATATATATATATATATATATATATATATATATATATATATATATATATATAACATATCTAAATACATTTATGTATTACAGCGTAAACAGCTATGCACTAAAGTTTAATGATTTTTAATGAGTTTTTTATAACTATGTACCAGTTTTTCTAACATTAAAGTTTAACGGATATAAATTATTAGTTTATTTTTTTTGTGCTCTGCTATTTATGTTTGTAACTTCAATATTTTAAATTTCAATTTGCTTGCAAATGGGTAGAAAAGCAGTGTCAGAGAGCAACAAGTGGCAAATTATTGGACTGGTCAAATCAAAGAATCATAATTTCTGAATTTTGCGTGCAAAAAAAAAAGTGAAAACCTGGGAGCTAACAGGTAATGTTGTTGACATGCCTTGTTCTGGAAGACCATTGAAGCTTATTGACCATGAAAAAAGTAGTCAATTCAGAAAAAATTCTAGGCTTAGCAACGAAAAACTAGCTCAAATATTTAACCATTCTTTTTATAATCAAAATGTAAGCAAAGAACTTGTTAGAAGAACATTAGCAAAAAAAGGAATTAGGTCTTACATTGCAATAAGAAAGCCTATCCTGTCAATCATGGACCAATGCAAAAGACGAAAATGGTGCAAAGAAGATTGGGCAAAAGTGATTTGGAGTGATGAGTCAAACTTTCAGGTTGTGAACCGCAAAGAAAGTATACAAATTATAAGATTTGCAACTGAGAAATATTGCAAGCGCTATTTACAAGCAAGACAACAAGGTGGTGGAAGCTCAGAAGGCATATGGGGATGCTTTTCCCACAGAAGCCTTGGTTTTTGCAAGCTGTATAATGGTCATATCAACCAATATACCTACAAAAACACACTTGAAACATGTTTGATTCCATCAACAAGACAATTGTATGGCAGAAGCAAGCAATACATCTTACAGGCGGGGTTCCAGCACACACAGCACATAGTATAACAAACTGGTTTACCACAAAGAAGATCAATTTGTTGCCTTGGTGCCCTAGTTCACCAGATATCAACCCAATAGAAAATATTTGGTCATGGATCGATACTCAACTGGTAAACCATCAAATTCAATCAATAGAGCATTTGAAGGAACTTATGAACTAGTATTGGTTAAAAGTGCCACATAAGATGTGCATGAAATTGATCAAATCAATGCAGAGACGAGTTCTTCTTTGCTATCAAGCCAAGGGAGGATACTTTAAATATTAAATTT